AACCCCTTCTTTAGCAGTATGATACCACTCTCCCTGGATTCACATCTAAAAGCTGCTGCTGCCACTGTTCTGACTCAGAGTGAACCTTCCCATTTCCTGCCAGCCTGTCATTTCTCTCCCGGGGATTATGTCCAAAGACTGCTGTAGTCACATGCTGACTTCAAAAAACTTTCAGAACACCCTTTATTGGTTGTTGGGAGCAGGGCCAGATTAACATGGGGGCTGATGGAGCTGCAGCTCCAGGCCCATGTCTATGGAATAGGCCCATTCTCTTTTTATTTTTTTTATACCACTCTTCACATGCTCTTGCTTAAGTACAGATGTAAGGGAACAAAACTTGTGTGGACTGGCTGACAATAAGATTAGCTAATATAAAGCTGACTTTGCACATTATGCAAATGCTCTTGCTGTTTCAGTCTCAAATTCAAAGTGCATAAGTGCTACTTTATTATCAATTAATATCAATTATTATCAATTATAAGCACCAGAGTATCGAAAAGTCTCCATTATATTCCTGGATAAGTTTATTAAATTATTTCATATTTTGGGATATTTAAAATGATTATTCAGAATATTAGAGTATCAAAAATATATATCTATAAAAAATTATCAAAATAGAAAGAAATATCAAAATATTAAAATAAAGTATTTTTCAAAATATTAAATAATTTTAAAAAACTATCCAAAATATTCATTCCAATTGAGAAGAAAAAGGTTCAGGCACTCCAAATCTCAATAAAGAAAATTTATTTGAGGCCTGGTTACACCCTTTTTTTTGCTCACATGAATGAGTGCAGTTCCTTTTTGTTATATATCCACCGCCCCCAGATGCCATTTTGTATAAATGGATACTGTAGGCTGGTCCATAACCTTGGACTATTTTTTTTTTTAATTTAAACTCAACCCATCTAACATTGTCAAACCATACACACATATTCCTCATATCCTCATCTGCCTGCTAATTTAGGCTAATTTAGGCCTCACTTCACAATCAACTCAGTGAAGACTGCATTTACCATCCTGCAGAAACACCCATCACTCTCAGGCCTCACTTCACAATCAACTCAGTGAAGACTGCATTTACCATCCTGCAGAAACACCCATCACTCTCAGGCCTCACTTCACAATCAACTCAGTGAAGACTGCATTTTTTCTCCCCACTTCCCACCCCTCCTCCGGCCCACCCAGGTTCCCCTTAAATATATAGCATGCTCCTCCAGCTGTTCGAGATTCTCACCCAATTACCTGTTCATTCCCCTAACATCTTACCAATAGCTGCTTCTCTGTTAACTCTTTCAGCCATCACCTCCAAACTTCCCCTGCTACCTTTTGTCTCAAATCCCCCTGGTATCCTTTATATTGTAAGCTCAAGGGCCATCTAGCTAAGCACTTTGTATAAAAGAGCTCCAATGGCTAGATATCAGCTTACGGGCAGGGCTCTCTTACCTCTTGTATTTGTTTGTGTATATTGTACGTTTCTCAACTAATTGTACAGCGCTGCGGAATCTGTGTGCGCTTTATAAATTGCAATAATAATAATAATAATAATAATATATATATACAAAGATGCTCTTGGCACTCACCCATTAACTGAAGTTTTCCTTTATATCTTTGCCTGGGTGCAGACCTCAGCGTAAGTGTATATATATTCATTGAAGAAAGGTGCACTCACAGGGCTTCATCCATAAGTAGTTTTATTCTTAGATGTGCATTACATGTGTAATCAAATCCTCAATCAACGTTTCGACTCATAAAGGGTCTTTTTCAAGATCAATGTACCAGTGAAATAAGCATGCATATATAGGTAGGTAAATGGAGTAATCACTTACCCAACAGGTGTGTGGGAACGAGCTCCCGCCCGACCGTCCGAAACCCGGAAGTGAAACAGTGCGACCACGTGACTGAGCGTGATGACGCGTATCATAAGTGTCGTTGCTAGGCAACGTAAACAAATCCTCCGTGGGTATTTATTTTACCGCGAGCTCAAAGACAGCTCTACGGGGGATCAAAAGAATGTGTACTAAGTGCACAGTGAGATTAAAATAGTTCCTAAATCAATAGGAATCCCAAGTATTTATCAACAATACCATGAGGAGGAATATGTAAAATATGAACATCTAAATATAAATATAGCCTGACAGCATAAAACAGCTGAAATGTGAAAAACTAATACACCAAGTGCCACTAATGTGAAAATTTATGTTAGTGAAAATAAACCTAATAAACAAATAACTCCAGCTGAAATATAGACTGTCAGGAACAATATTCAATCTCATCGCAGAATAAATTAGTTATGT